TATACATCGCAGAAATCAACATTGAAGGGTTAATTCAAATGTTTAAAAATCATTTTGTAAGACAATATTTCTTTATTACTTTACTATATGTTTTCCTGTACAAACAGTAAACTGACTTCAAAATAAAAATAATGTAGACATTATTTCACAGTACTTTGAACTGCTCTTCCTATACAATATTCTCATTTGAAAAATTATATATAGAAATTATATATAGATCTTGACCACACTTACCCTTTTGCCAATTTGCTGTAATCCCTGGAAAAACTCTGGAGATGCATGATTATCACCTCCCTCTGCTTGTATGGGCTCTACCAGTATAGCTGCAACTGGCTTGCCAGCAGCATTATATTTGTGAATAAGATCTTCTGTCTGGAATACAGATCTCAAATGAAACAAAAAATCTAGCTTAAAGTGAGTGTAAGTGGAATAATATTTATTCACAATATTTGATAAAAGCATATGCCATGAAATATATCATATACGGCTTATATCCTGTTTATAAAAAATTATAAATATTTTTTTTCTTCTTTATACTAAAACTTACTTCTTCCAGACATTTTGCATCTTCCTGCTGGTTCTCATGTACATAATCTTCCAAAGGATATTTGTACCGAGGGAATCTTGCCATTGGCCAATCCAAAGCAGGGATGTCAATCTTATGGATGGCTTTTGAACGGGTTGCTGAAAGACATCCCATGGTTCTGCCATGGAATGCACCTGTGAAACAAATTCATCTTACACAAAATGGCTTGTTAATTTTTTTAGAGAGTAAACAATGAATATTCAAATACAAAGAAGGATTAAACTGTACATAATATTGTTGAGTAATTTTCTTTTCTTTTGTCTTTTTATGGGGTATAATTTTTTTACATAGATTTGCACTGGTATAATCAAAGAAAATTTTTTTTTCTTCATAATTTGATGTTTTGGTTTGATAGGGGACCAATTAATATGTGGTTGGTTTTCTCTTTCAAAACCACTTATGTATGAAAAATATTACCTTACGTAATTATTGAGAAGGTGAGTTCAGTTTATCATAACTATGGTGAGATGAAGGTAATCAAATTACTGTTTTAACTTTTTGAGCAACAACAACTGTTTTGCCCTTCTCCACTTGACTTTATTACTGTTACCTCCTGATATCCTTTTCAATTTTGAGGTCTTGCTTTCACTTGGCAAGATCAGTCTTTTCATTGTCCAAAACACAACAATTGCATTTACTGTGTGGCAAGTGTTCACTTTCACAGAAAACATATTTTAGTGTTTCAAACTCTGACACTTGCCGTCTGTTGAAGCCTGTAATACAAAGAGAATACCTTTAAAGGTTAACAATTTCTTTTAATGTAATTCATAATATTTGATAATTACTCCACAATGAATGGATTGCAACAAATAGCTCTTATTCTGAAAAAGCAAAGTGAACCATCATTATATTCTAAGTAATATGAAAGATCATTTAAGTCATAGGTGACTGGAATATTAAAAGTAATATAAGCAAATATGTCAATTTTAATTAGAAATTTGTATTTCCATGAAATCTTTTGGTACATTTGGCTGATTAAAATTGATTATGATAAAATATGCTGTAAATCTGATTATCAAGACCAATCTTTTTAGACATAATGTGTAAACATTTTCCTTGAACACTATTAATAATAATGGATTAGAATCATAAAAGAATATTTTTTATTAAGGTGATGTGTCATGGAAAATACAAATGCTGATAACTGAAGCATAGAA